CTTTACCTTTTGGGCAAAAGGTTTTTAATTTAGTTTTTAGTCGTAAACACTTGTTAATGATGCCTTTGTGTCACAATATTCTATAGACTGGCTGAAATTTTCTTCTTTTGCCTTTTGTATGTTTTAATACGCGCGTTTTTGACGTTTACTTTTTATTTTCGGTATACTGTTTGTCAGATTGAAAAAAAGTTAGGTTAGTTGTGGATTTTTTTTTATATTTTGTTCTTTCCTCTGCTGTTTTTGTGGACAAATTTGTTTTTCTCTTCTTCTTCTTTTTGCTGTTGTTTGTAATTTTTGCGTTTTATGTTTTGCTTACAGAGTTTATTATTAGTTTTATTTTTAGCTTTGTTTTTTTTTTTTCAAACAAAATCAATTTTTCTTTTGTTGTTGTCACAATTTTTAACAACACGATGAAGTTAAAAGCTTGATTTTCACAAAATTTCAAAGTTTTTGTTTTTATTGTGCAATAAATAGGTAAAGTTCAAAATAAAATAACAATTTGTAAAGTTTTATTATTTGTTTGGAAATTTGCGAACAAATTTGGCTTCGTACTCAAGAAAAATTAAAATTTGGCGTTGTTTACGTTGATGCACAGTTGCCAGATGATTTCGATGTAAAATCGTACAATTTTGTCAAATCGTCAAAGCTATTTTCTATAGACCAGTGTACACTTAATTAATTATATCATGCTATAGACAATAGTTGTGTTTTGTTGCTAACGTTCAAAGGCAATTTCATATAAATTTAAAATTTATAAACGTTAGGAGTTAACGTGTAAAATTATACAAGTTAAATTTAACGTCGATAAAAGTGCTACCAATTCAAAAATAAAAATACAAATATTAATGTGTTTATGTCAAACAATAAAAAAATATTTTAAAATAAAATTTAAATCAAAAAAAATATCAAATAAAAAAACCTTTTTTTAAGAAAATGTAAATAATTTCAAGATTTAGCAGATTTCTTCTGTGGAGTGATGCCAAGTCAGGTAATGTTCGTTTTGTTGCTAACTTTAAGCGTTAACACTCATTGATAGCAACAAAACACAACTAATATTCGTGTTTGTTGATGTTTTTAACGATTTTTATATTAATTATTTTAACTATAGAGACATTTTTATCAATTTTGAAATACGGCAAATATGTATTAAAATATGTACCTTATATTGAGTACTTGCAAAGTAATTTGGTATGATTTCTAGTGTATATATGTATAATGTTTCTATTCTTCCATTTTTTTACATGTAGTTCATTAAAATACAATTTTTGAGAGGTTTTTTTCATAAATATGTTTAAGAGTTCATCCGAAAACAAGCCAAGATATCGTAAATATGTAATTTTGGATACAGAAAATTGTCAAAATAACAGCATACAATTAAATCTGGCAACAGTGTTTTGAATTGATTAGAGATCTGCGCCGACAAACATTAACAACGGCGTCGACTTTAAGCCGAATCGACGCTGGTTTCCAAGTTAGAGTTGTCAAAGTAATTGGATAATCATCATTTACTCAGTACAGTGTTGTAATTGGCTACTTTGGTATTAAACATTTTTATGGTGAGTTTAGAAAGCAGTTTATTTTAAATGAAAATTTAAATTTTTTAAGTTAATTTTAAATACATTTTAAATAAATATTCTTCCCAAGAAATCATAAAATAATACTTGAAATTTTAATAAAACATAAAAAAGAAGAAGAAAGAATTTGATGGCAAGTCAAAGGTATAAAAAACCAAACGCTGTTGGTCGAAAAATATTGAATTTTAAATGAAAAATATTAATAATAAAATACTTGAAAAAAATTTATAAAAACTTTTTATTATAATAAAATTAATAATAAGCAAATAAGAAAATTTTAGAAGAAACATTTAGAAATATTAAAAAACAAATATCTATTTTGAATCGTTTGTTAGAATTTATTTGCTCTAACCGCAAAGTTATAAATAATAACAAGCTATAAAAATAGTCATAGACATAATAGAAATCCCTAGCAGTTATCTGTTTAACCGTTTCACTTCATGTATATAAATTAAAATTAATTATTAATGTATGTATGTCTAGTTTAATATTTTACTATGATTGTAAATCTATTTTTAGAAATTACAAATGCACTTGCACGAGGGAGCATTAAGCCGGTTATTTAGTTGAGCTATATCGTTAAATGACTCTGCTTAGCTTGCCGGCAGGCAGCCAGTCGGTCATATTCACTATTTGGCAGTTTGCCTGACTAATTGAGTGGTGGTGTTTCTGAGCTTGATAAATCTGCATATATTATAAATGCTTTACAGCGCAAAAACAAAAGCTTTAACTTAACAGGGGTTCGCACGCCCCCGAACAAGTTTCTTGTATCTTTTTTTATTACAATTATTTATTTATTCTATATTTTTTTGCCAATAAACAAACAAAAAGTAATTTAAATTCTGTATGACTCAAACCTTCAACAGTGTATTAATGAATTGAAATAAGTAAATATGTGTGTTTTTGTATTAGAATAAACAAATTATTAATAAATAAACAAAAAATTGTTAACACAATTAATGAGATTTGTCATGGTCTGTGATAAAATGCAAATTAAACGATTGAAAAGGGATTCATTGTTCATGATACATATTGAACTAAACAGTAGAAATAATTAAATAGGGAATAAATATTACTTTAGTACTTTTTATAAAGTACCTGCTGAACATATGCGCTTTTTTCAAGATCATTGAACTTGAATACATTAATTAACCGTGTATTCATAAAATAATTTCTAAAAAGTACGATTTAAAAAAAGTACCAAAACTGGACAATTTAATATTTCGATAGTTTTGTTAATAGTTTAGTAGTCATGTTAATACTAGTTTATTTTCAAGCCCTTAAGCTATTTCCTCCATTTTGCTAATTGTTGATTGGTTGATAGGGCCGAGGTGGGAATGCTTGTGTGTTGGTTAATGAATTAACATCTATTGTGTTGATTGGTATTAATAAAAAAATGAATAAAATTATTAATTTTACTACAACCGACAACAATCAAATTAAATTTATGTAAATAAGTATGAACGAATACTTCTTACATAATGTGTAATTTTGTAGAATACTTTAATGTGCTTTTACAATAAAAATAATTTCACTTAACAGTTGCGCTTGAAACGGAAATGCCAATAAATTTTTGGTTGAAGTAGTCAACTCATGCTATCTCTCTAGATCTAAATGTTCTCGCTTAAAGTGAAAATTATTATAGTTTATAGGTATTTTGAAATATAATTGTGTAACGAGGCACGTTTGTTATAACAGAAATAATTTAATTTGTATTTATTTATATTTATTATAAATTATGAGCAAGTGTTAGATAATTAAATCTTTTATAGACCTGTTGAGAAATTATACAAAGTAATAAAAATTTAAATGTAACTTTTCTAACTTGATTAAAAATAAAATGCAATATTTGCAAATAATTATAAATAAGTACTAGCGGTAAAAACAATAACAATAATTTGTATTTATAAAAAAGTCAACTTTTTTAAATGGTTATTAATTTTTAACCTATTGACCTTTATTAATAATTAATTTTTAACCTGCTGACCTTTTTTAATAACTTTAATTTAATTTTAGTTTATTTATACAATATGCTTGCTTTTGTTGGTTTATTTTTAACTTAACATGTCAACCTATAATTTATTCTCAATTTTATTAAATTTCAAGTCTTTTTCTTAAAATATGAATCATTCGATTTTGTTTTAACACTCATGCAATATTCTAATAAAATAATATTTATATCATCTAGTTTTATTAAAACAATTTTTATAACAGCTCTTGAATTAACCAACCATATGTCTGTCATGTTGAAAAAATTCTCATCTAAAAACAATTATTGAATTTTCAAGACTCCAGACAATTTGCCCACAGGCTGCAGTATTAATTAATTTTTATATTAAAAAAAAAAAATAATAATAAATAAAATATTAAAATGGCTACGCGGAGAAAAAATAAGTCAGACAATTTATAAGGAATATAGCTTATACTGGATTTTTTATAATGTACTAAATTTTTCAATATGATCAAAATTTCCTCCAAATTCAAATTCTAATAATTAATTAGAATTAATTATAATTAACTTAATTTGTTTTGCCAAAATCTCTAAATTATTGTATATATATTTTGTTTAGTGTATTCAGTTTTCTTACAAGTATCAAATGTTTAATTCTAGGAGTTCAGGGTTTTTCTAATACCCTTCATAGATTATAAGAAATATTTAAGACTTTTATAATTTTTGCGACATTTGCAGACAAATTTAAAGTAAAATTTTAAATAAACAATATTTTATTGCTTCATTTGCATTAATAAATATTTTTATCAACCTCTTTTATCTTAGTAACGCTAATTTTCAATTTAAAACTATATTTAAATCCCCTTTAATGAATTCCCTTTTTTTCTCACCACACACTTTGTCCATCCCTGTTAAATAAGTTACTAATTTAAGTAAATGGCGCAATTTTTTCTTTGACTTTTCACCAATTATTTGACAGTTTCTTTAGTTGGAGCTTAAATTAACTAATTTTCGGGTGTTTAGTGATTCGCTGTGATATTAATTATAATTTTATAAAGAAATAATGCATAAAATTAAAATATTTTTGCATAAAAATGTAAATAAAGATGTGCTTAATGTTATTTCATAAAAATATTATTGGAAAATATGAAATTTATAACAAAAAAAGTGTTTTAAAATTTGCTAAAAAATACGAAGGCAATTGTTGGCCGAGTTTGTGTGTTTGTAATATAGAAAAGAAGGAGTAGAGAGGGAGATGAAATTTAGAGAGATGCCGTTTGTTGTTGTTATTGAAAATGTATTAGGTGTTTTTTGTTGTTGTTTATGAATAGTATAAGTAAATGGCGCACTTTTGTCTTTAACTTCACACCAATTATTTGACAGTTTCTTTAGTTGGAGCTAAAATTATATATTTTTCGGGTGTTTAGTGATTCGCTGTGATATTAATTATAATTTTATAAAGAAATAATGCATAAAATTAAAATATTTTTGCATAAAAATGTAAATAAAGATGTGCTTAATGTTGTTTCATAAAAATATTATTGGAAAATATGAAATTTATAGCAAAAAAAGTGTTTTAAAATTTGCCAAAAAATACGAAGGCAAATAAGTTTTGGCCGAGTTTGTGTTTGTTCTTTTTTATGTAAAATAGAAAAAAAAAAAATAAATAAAAATATTTTTGCATAAAAATGTAAATAAGGATATGCTTAATGTTATTTCATAAATATATTATTGGAAAATATGAAATTTATAACAAAAAAAAATATTTTAAAATTTGCTAAAAAAATACGAAGGCAATTGTTGGCCGAGTTTGTGTGTTTGTAAAATAGAAAAGAAGGAGTAGAGAGGGAGGTGAAATTTAGAGAGATGCTATTTTGTTGTTGTTCTTGAATACCTATGTATGTAGTAAGTGTTTTTTGTTTTTGTTTATGAATAAAAAAACTGCAGTACCTATAAGTAAATGGCGCACTTTTCTCTTTGACTTCACACCAATTGTTTGACAGTTTCTTTAGTTCGAGCTTATATTGAAAATTTTTCGGGTGTTTAGAGAGATTCGCAGTGATATTAATAATAGTTTTATATAGAAAAAATGCATAAAATTAAAATATTTTTGCATAAAAATGTAAATAAAGATGTGCTTAATGTTATTTCATAAAAATATTATTGGAAAATATAAAATTTATAACAAAAAAAGTGTTTTAAAATTTGCAAAAAAGAAAAATACGAAGGCAATTGTTGGCCGAGATTGTATGTTTGTTTGAGGGAGAAGAAATTTAGTGAGATGCTGTTTTGTTGTTGCTATTGCAAAGGTGCATTCATGTTTTTTCTTTTATAACTATGCTGGGAAGAAGTGGAAAAGATTTTCCGTAACAACACAGAATAAAGGATGACAAGGCCGATGAAATGGTAAGTCAATATTTTGTTATTAATTGTTTAAAAGTATTTATTGAAGGATAATTATAATTTTTGTTCAGTAGCAAAACTGTTACATTGTTCTTATAAAGACTGTTATACATAAATTCAGCGTAAAAAATGTACATATGTATAAAAAATATTTGTATATAGAAATTCTTCTAAAGAAAAACTGTTATACAGAATATTATCTATAAAAAATCTTTATAAAGAAATGTTATATAGATAATTTTATATAAAAAACATATCGTACAGAAAACTTCTATACAAAAAATAAATTTCATATAAAAAACTGTTATACTGGAAATTTTTTAGACGATTTTATAGATGAGGCAGTTATAAGTATCAAATATTATAATTCAAATGAGTCCAAATGGTAGTTTTGGTACTTTTTGAAAACTGTTATACTGGAAATTGTTTAGTAAAAATTGTTATACAGATTTTTTTATATAAAATGCAGCAGAATGAGAAAATTCTGTATTGAAAAATGTTCTATAAAAACTGTTATAAAAAACTTTTATAAACAATTTAAATATCTATAAAATAAATTGTTATAATACGTCTAGACATGTTGTTTTAAAACTTTTCTTGAAGTGTGCATCAAAATTCATCCACAACTTTTCTTATTCTTCAGTTGAATAGTTATTTGTCATTATACTTTGGAACCAATTGGATTTTGATTTCATATTGCTTGTAATTTGTTTGGTTGTAGTTGTTTTTTAGTATCGTAAAGTTTTTATGTACTTATTTTATTGTCAAACGACAAGATCACGATTATTTTCAGAAATATTGACAATTCAAGTGAAATAAAGCGTAAAAAAATCAACACCAAACCAGCCACAAACAACGAAATTCAAACAGATTGAACAAAAAAACTCAAATATCCCAAACACTTGGCGATGGTGTCGTGTATCGTTTTTAAACATTAAACGGCAGCCAAAAGACATTTATGTATATTGGCAATGAGAACAACACAGAATGAAAAAAAACAATCAATGTCTGTTTCTTTAAACGCAACCAAATTTTGCAGATTGAAGAAAAAACAATAAATAAACCAATAATATTTGTACAAAATATACAGTGGCTTATGAAATACATGATCTTTCAAAAGATTTAACTTTAGAAGAGGGTGGTTCACTCATTTGTTCTTCATCGTCTGTCGATGCTCAAGTGTTAAACCAAGTGAATTTTGTGGCGCATGCCAAACATCTATAAGCGATCTAAACATTGAGAGAGAAGTGACATCATGTACATTATCCGTATTGAATGTCTACAGCAGCCCTGGCATTCATAAGAATTATGAGTTTAACTCCAGGCTATAAAATGCAAAATATGTATGTTTTTTTTTTAAATGAATATGAAATCAATTTTTATTTTATATATTATTTATATAGGAAGGCGTTAGTTCAAAGTAAAGCTAATTTGGGTGGGGGGTAATTATTGATTAAACATGATTTATTACCTTAACTATAATACATGACATGATTGAGAATTCATATACAAATATATTCTAAAATCTAAACAGAATTTGACAAATTGGTAAAACATATAACAATTCTATATAAATTTTGAATCTAATCCAGTATTGTTTGCAATTGTTTTTGAGGAATTGTTAAAATTGCATGGCACTTAACAAAGTAAATAAAAAATATATATAAATAACTTATAACTCTCACACCTTGCACAAAAAGTAATAAGTTTTTATTCTTAAGGTCTTTGTAATTTTTCAACAACAACTAAATTTAATTAACAATAACTTAACAAATTTATTATTGGCTGCTAATTAACAATACTAAAAATAGAGTTTACACGCGATTTATATTTTAAATTCTTATTAATCAAACGTTTCAATCTAGAGGATACATTTCATTTAAATAAAAAACTCACATTCATTCATACAATTTATTTATATTATAATTATATAGGTCAGGGCATTTTTTTTTTTTTTTGGTTTTATAAGTTGTGTCATATTTGCTAAACCGTAAAATAAAGTTTAGCCGCAAAATCTTTAAATAATTTTATTAATTATATTTAAAAAGCGGCTTTTTAGGTTTTTTTTTCACAAAGTAAAGGCGCGTTTCTGATGTGTCCCCTGTGATATGAGAATGATAAGTTTGTTGTATTTTTTTGGTTATATACAACATGGAATTCATATAACAATTTGCATGAATGTATTTTTATTGTGTGTTTCAGAGGCACTGGGTCACAGAAAGGGTTGCCAATTTGTAGTAAATTGTAATTCTTTAGGGTGTCACAAGGATTTCTATATATTTTGTTTAACTTGTTTTGAATATTAAATCTGCTTTTAGGGCAGAATTTTCAAAAGCTTTTTTCTGTTCTTATTATTCCAAAAATCTTTTGCAACCATGTTTTCCTTTAATGATGAGATTCTATTGCAAATTTTTACCAACAAATATATAGGATTGTTCTGTTTTCTAACTCATAATGCAAACTCAGATCTATATTACGGGGTGGCAAGGCCTTCAGATGGTCTATGATATGTTTTATCTTATACCAAACACATTCTACTATTTCTCCAAGAATAAAATTTCCGAATATTTTTTAATAAATTTAAGTCAAATAGTCATACTGGACATTAGAGTTTGGTTACGGTTTTCAAGTTCGGCCTAATAGTTTTTAACCTTTCCATAACCACTCTAAGTAATGTTTTTATGAAAATTATATAATTTTATTAATGAATTGAAACAATTTATAAAAAAAAAACTTCTTCTGTCGGTCTCACAAACCCTATTTGGAAGTAGAAAGTTTTATTAAAACGCTTATCATTTATACAAAATTCCTAATTTTATATAAAACTAAGTCAGTGTTTGAATTCTCTTTGAAATAGTCATTTGGCAACTCACTTAATTGCTATATTAGTTTAGTAGTGTATATTTAAAGGTGTGTCCTAATGTCTTAATAAATTATTTAATGCTACTAATTAATTTCAATTAATGACAATTTTTGCATTATTAATTAAATACATTACTAACAGAGCATTAATTTTATATTTTTAATTATATAGCTAGATTTTATTTTTTAAAATAAAAACTTAATTTAATAATAATTTGCCAAAACTAAAATGGTTATGCGTACCATAACTTACCAATTAGTTGCTAAAAAATTCACCACCATTTTCTACTTTTCCACCTTATCATAGAAATTGACCATACTTTCATTTCACTGCTTTTAGCAAGAAATTGCGTATTTATTTTCAACACACATGTAACAACACTATTTGCCTTTCATTTAAACACATCTCCAATAGCCGTGATCGTCTAGTGGTTAGGACCCTACGTTGTGGCCGTAGTAACCCAGGTTCGAATCCTGGTCACGGCAATGTTCCCCTCGTAGAACATTGTCACGGAGGAGATTTATTTTTTTTTTATGAATTTTTTTTTTCATAACTATTTATATAACAAAAAAGTAATAAATAATTATTTATGAGTTTTAATTTTGTTATTAATGATTTGATATGTTTTAATTGTTGTTTTTATTATTACTTATTCCTTTTTTTTGCTACATAAAAATTCATTAATAATTCAAAAATATTCCAAATTTATTATGACTAATTAGCATTTTATAACAAACTGCGTTTTCTTTTTTTATTATTATTATTATTAACAAAATTATAAAGCGCCATTCCCCGGCATGAGTAATTTAAGTTTTTGTTTAGAATTGAAAAAAATACAACGTTTTTTTATTTTAGCTTTTTTTTGTGTATAAAATACAAAATTCGTTTTGTTTCGTTTTAATTTTTGGTTTTATTTGTTGGTTTCCAAAACGTGATGGATTTAAATTAAATTATATAAGTAGGTAATTATTTATAAATAAAATCTATTAAATTTTTTTATTATATTTTTGACTCACTTGTCAATTTATCATGTGATGTACATATTTAATTAGTGTACTTAGTATATGATTTGTATGCATTTTCGGGCAATTATTTTAGAATGTCGAAAAGATTTAGGAAAAAGTTATAATATAACTTTGATCATTACGTTTTTTATCTTATCTGATTTTAGAATAGAGCTCGGCATTCGTAGTAGGCAGGGGTTGTATAAAATCAGGCAAGTGTAATGGTAAAATCAACACTGAATCGGAATTCAGGGAAGTTCCCAGAAAATTATGAATATATGTTATATTACAGATATTTCCCTATTTTAGCTAGAGAATTTCTAACTTGAGTGTTGTTTTCATTTGGACTTTGGTTCCAACGCAAATGCTTTTAACTACAATTAATGCTGCTGTGTTTATTAATAAAAATTGTTTTTATTTTTAAGTGTGATTTATAAAAATGCTACTAATTTAAATTCCACTTTTGTTTTTGTTGGTTTTTTTTTTTTGTGAATTGTTTTTTTGGTTGACTGATAATTTTGAAAACAGATGTTTATCCCCTCGACCTTGTCAAATACATAGAAACACATACGGGGTTCTTATTCGTACCATATACCCTGCTGTTCGTGTGGTGGCTGTCCCAAACTAATGATTTTATCAATTGATAGATAAAATTATTAGTTTGGGACATCCACCACAGGAACAGCAGGGTATATGGTACGAATAAGAACCCCGTAGCGTTTGACTTATTCATGGAATTTATCTCAGACTAAAGTCGGTTTAGTGATCCCAAGAGTAATAAAAAGCGAGTCAATCAAGTGTTTAAGCATTTTGGAAAAATAACGCCTAAAGGCGGATATATTAACTCCTTCAAGAACTGCGACTTTTCTGACTAAAGTCGTTTTAGTGATTCCGGGAGTAATAAAAAACGAGTTTATCAAGTGTTTGAGCATATCGGAAAAATGGAGACATATTAACTCCTTCAAAAACTGCTGGGTAAAGTCACAGCCACACGCATTCATCCATCTACACATTCAAAACCTAATTTATTGCATGCACATAATTAAACATTGTTTTAATGTGACATTTTGTTGTATTTATTTCCATTTTTTTCATGTTATTTTTTATACTTTTTTTTATTATTTCCTTAACATCTAACTGAAACTATAAAACAAACAAAATTACACACACACAACTACAACAATTGTAGGAGTACATAAATTCTGCTCCAATAAAGCTTTGTTGCTTTCCAGCAGCTCTTGCTTGTTCCATTTGGGACACCCGCCAGCCCGTCCGACAAACAGATTAACTGCCGAAAAAAAAAACTCAAGACAAATTGTCGTAATTAATTTAAGTTTTTTAAGTTGATTATACATAAAATATTTTCTTTGTTTATTTTCATTTTATTTTATTTGATATTCTCATGTATGAGTAAATACTAGTTAGTGTGTGTGACTTAGAAACTTAACTAATTCTATACTAAAATTAAAAAAAATATATAAAAATATAATAATGAACAAAAAAAAAGAAAAACAGCCGAAAGTAGTCAAGGTCATTTCAAATGACACTCATTAAAAATCATCATCATCATCATCAACAACGCCACATCCATTATTAAAAGTGGGGGAATATAATAATAATTGTTGTTATTTATTTAGTGACTTTTCAAAATAAAATTTAGTTTTCAAACATTTGAAAAGTGTTTCCTCTATCGTAAACAATAACTTTTATTATGGCTATTCACTTAATGTCATAATTATTTTCACATATACTTACTCTTTAATCATAGACGATTCCCTTGATATTTGTATACCCCTATTAAGTGGTGGTAAACATATTCAAAAATAAATTTAATCACAATAACTTTAAATATCATCTAAATCATGATTTGTTATATGAGCACAATTAAACTCATGATTATTTAGTTTAAACAAGTGTAAATAATTAACAATCGCATAAACTTTACTAAAAACCATATAATATCTCATATACCTATTATTTTTTTATAATTTTACTGCACTGCAACTCTATTTAGCTTAAGTGGAAGTTGCAAATTAAACCAAGCTTGAAAGCATTGGTCAAATGTACAAGGTTATCATTGTGCGTTATTAAATATTATATTTTTTTAATTTAATATAATATTAACCATGGACCATTAGATAAAAAATTAAAACTAAACACCTATTCTTAGTTAAAGGAAGTTCAAAATCGAACACATTCCCGGAAAATAATGAACATGATTATAGAAACTTTTTTGCTTGCAAAACAGATTATTTCTAAAGAAGCTTATCAGTTGACTTATCCTGCAGAGAAATGCAATGTGCATTTCATAAGATTTGTCCATTCGGGAGAAAATGCATTAAATATATACTGGATCATAACTAACAGAATCATATTCTAGCAAGAATAATATTGATATAAATATGCAGTTTTCCGAAAAAGGGAAATGATATACACATCTAAACTAAGAATGGAAGGGAACTTGAGAAAGTTAACATAGGTTAGGTTGTAGGGGCAGCCGTACAGTAAGTGATCCACTTGGGTCCACATGATGGTTCTGTTGGTTTACCCTGTAACGGATCCTACCCGAACCTACCTATACGACATTACATGTCCATGTTTGACATATAATCAAACCAGCCAGACGCACGAATTCTATCCATATTAGAGGGGCGCTAGTTGATGGACTCAGTTCTAATATCGTCAAAGTAGGGACAGAGGCAGAGAAAATGTTCGACAGTTTCCTTTTCTTCCTCATTGTGATAGCTCCTGCAATAGGCATTAAATGTAAGGTTTATTCTTCTAGCAAGCGCACCCATAATACAGTACCCTGTTAGGATGCATTTTATGATATCTGTCCATTCAGGAGAAAATACTTTGAATATGTACTGGATCATATTCTAGCAAGAAGAATATTGATATAAATATGTATTTTTCCGAAAAGGGAAATACACATCTAACTTAAGAATTGAAGGGAACTTAAGAAAGTTAACATAGACCCACAAGAGACCCACTTGGGTCCACATGATGATCCCGTTGTTTTGCCATTATTATAGGATACATGTGCATGTTTGACATGGAATCATAGTAGCCAGAGGCACGATCCTCACTGTAACAGCTCCTGCAATAGGCATGCAATGGAAGATTTAGTCTTCTAGCGAGCGCGCCCATAATACAGTGTCCTGTCGTAATGACCTGTATATACATACATACGTAGTTTCATCCTAGAAAGTATCATTAAACCTATAAACTTTCGCTCATCATAGAGAGGCCAGGTCAATCTTTATGTCGAGCTGGAGGTCAGTGATGACCATCTGATTTGAGCAGACCTATAAAGTTTTTGCTGTATGAGGGATTTGCAGCACGAATGACTGGCACCAACTAGCGTGCTCGAACCAGTTTGTGCTAGTTTAAATACATTATAAATGACTCGGTACCCAAAGCTGTTCGAGGCACAAATGGTTCGCCAACTCTGAATTTCGTGTATACACCATTCAATCTAAAGAGTGCAAAGACCATCGATGCAACAAGAGCAGAGTTATAAAAGAGAGAAACCTACAATTTGGAATAATGAATAATAACTTTTAGACAGCAAAGATCCTATGAAAGGTGGACTATAAATCCCCTCGGAATATATAAATCTGAGATTAGAAGGATACTACGTATTCCGCTAGAACACACAGAACTACGGGCACAACTATTCAAAATTGAATGAACGATCATGCGAAGAGAACAGTGAAACAGGGGAACACTTTCTCTCACACTCTCAATATTAGTTTAAAATATATCGATCATTAAAAAAGGAGCACACAACAGGCCCGATATGGGTCGAGGGGTATTTTTTCGGGTCTTGGGAACGATGTTATACCAGATATTACATTCCTTCGAAAATTCGAAAGAATCATGTCCAGGAAACTGATTTCATGAACACCGGATAAAAATGATTAATAATATTTGCACAGCAAAGATTCTATGAAAGGAGAACAAGAAGTCCCCTCGGAATGAATAGATCTGGGATTAGAATGATGGTACGTATTCTGCTAGAACACACAGTACTACGGGCACAACTATACAAAATAAAATTAACGATCATGCGAAGAGAATAGTGAAACAGTAGAACACTTTCTCTCTCGCTGTTAGGCTTTCGTCAATATTAGTTTCAAATACCTTGGGACCAATATATCGTTAAAAAAGGAGCACACAACAGGCCCGATAGCGGCATAGGGGTACTTATTCGGAACTGATGTAATATACATACATCTTTCTTTCACCAAACAATCATGGGAATGATTCTATCTGATTATTACTTAGGAACACGGAAACTGTTCTAAAAATTCGAAGGAATCGTGTCCAGTAAAGTTATACTCTGAACACCGGATAAAAGTTCCTTTCACATAATGTATTTCCATCCAACACTTTCTATGCAAAAGAACTCACAACAGGCTCAATAGTGGCCTATTATACATCCTCCCTTCAACCTAACATAATATCCATCCAAATTAAAAACACCACTGCAATTTACTGTTTTTAATAATGTTAATTTGTTTTTTGTTTATTATTCATCATCATACATTTAATAATTAATTTGTGTCTTAAATTTTATGTTTTATTTTAATTGTTTTTATTGATTTTTGAAACAAGTTTTGTTTAAATAAGTATTTTTTTTTTAATTTAAAGATTTTTTTTTTCCATAAATTTACACAAATCTACACATCAATTTTGGTTTTTTCACATTTTTTTGTTGATTTTTTTTATACAAATATTGCTTAAATTATAAATAAAGACCATAGAGAGTAATAATAATATTTATATTTATATATATAAGTTTATAAAAATAAGAAAATTACAAAAGAAATAAATAATATACAGTTAGTAAGTAATTAATTAATTACATTAGTGTTGGTTTTAATATTGGTGTGTATTTTTTTAAATATTTTTGTTTTCTTTTAATATTAGATATATTTTAAATAGGTGTCTTAAGTGTGCTTTTTTTAAAAAAAATATATATATTTAAAACGTTAATATTTGTTGATAAAAATTTGTTAAACAAAAAGAAAATAATAGCAAGAAATTGTATAAAAAAATGAGAAAACAAATAACAAAAAAACTTAAAATTTATTAACAAAAAAATAGTCATGAATATTGCAACAGTTTAACTTAATAGAAAAAAATAAATAAATAAAAAGTGAAAAATTAAAGAGAAATAATAAAAATATTAATTATATATTTTTGCTCTGGTCAAAAATATCATAATACTTAAAAACACAACATTTTTTGTTAAATATAGAAATGTTAAGGAAACCTTTTTAGTTAAATAAGTTGATTTTATCTTATAGAGATAATATTTAAACAAGACTTACAAATTTGCAGGATATTAAATGTATATTGAAAATTATTACAGTTAAATTTGATTTAACAGGTACATTGGTAGCGCAAATAGGCTCACGTTTAGAGCTTGAGTTATTCTTAAAGTTTTGATAACAATATTAATATATTGGGTTTGATGTTTCTTAAATACTAAAGATATAGTTTTGTTTTTTTTTTTTGTTTTTGTTTTCATTTAGTTTTGATTTATTCACAAATGCGCCACTTAATTGTAATGAAAAGAAAACAAATGTAAGATTTTTTAAAGGGAAACCCTACTTTTACCACTTAATCAAAACAGTGTTGCCAATTCCATAGGTTGATAATTGAGTTTAAAAGAGCGAATATTTAAAAATATATATTGATTTCAAAAATATTATTTAATTAAAACTAACTTTTCATTAATAGGGTTTCCCTTAAACAAATTAATAGAATAGAAATATTAATTTGTAAGTCTTGTTTATTTATATTTAATTTGATTAATTTTAAGTTTCATTAATAACATATTCAATTTGTTTTGTTTTTCTTTTATATTTTTAATAACAACAATATATAGATTTTTTTTAAATACATTTAGAGTTTTTAACTTTTATTTTTTAAATGTTTTTGGATTTGTTGTAATGAGGTAATTTGATGCTTTGATTTGATTTTTTGTTTTTATTAATTATGTTTTTTTGTTTTGTAATATTTAATTGTATGTATATAAATATTTATGTATGCATAGCAAACCTATTCTTAAAAAATAGGAAGAAGGCATTTCTTTGTCATATTTATTATATTTTAATTTTTATGTTTTTTTTTTTTGAATATTATTTTTTTATGTTATTTTTTACTGTAAACTCGTTGCAAAAAAGCTTATAAACTGCTGCAATAAAAAATATTTCTTATTTATTTTTTTTACCAAAGTTTATCAAAAACTATTTTAGATTTTAAAGTAAAACACTAATAAATTTCTTGTTCCTAATTAATATTGTAAAAAGAAAATATTTATATATAAAGCACTTGGTTTTCTTTTTGTTCTTGTTTTTTTTATAAAGCATTAAATAGTTTTTGTTTTTATTATTTTATTATTTTTAAGATTATTTATTTTATTTTCAAAAATATTAAGGCTTTTTGTTGATTTCTTTCCAATTTGTAAAAAAATGAAATTAGTTTGAAGACACTTTTTGTTGAAAATTATTTTATAAAAATTTTACTTTTCTGCACAACTAACACATAATTATCATTGAAATTTCTTTTTATTAATTTTTTAGTTGAGGAAAGTTTTCTTATTAATAAATAAACACACCTAAAAAAGAAGAGTTAATATCGGTTTTGTTTTAAATTTAAATTTAGCTTTAATAAAATATAAGAGCACATTTAGTAGTAAATTTATGAGTTGTATGTATATTAAAGTAGTTTTATTGAAATTTCCACATTTAAGGCATTTTTTTTGTTATTTGTTTTTTTTTGTAATTTTACTTTGTGTTATATTTATCACTTATAATGAAATATCATTAAATTTTTAATTATATATTTAAAGCCAATTACATAGTTTAATTTTTTATATAATTTTTACAATTAATCTCTGTTCTTTTACTTAAAGAAATAATAATAATTTTGTTGTTTTTTATTTAAAAATAATAATTACTGTTGTAGGTTCAATTTATTTGATTCTCTTGTATTGTTTTTTGCAATAAATTAAAACTTTATTATGGAATGCATTTTTAAATTTTTTTATATTTTTTATAAATTTTAACAAATTGAGGTAGTTGAGCCTTAATAAGCTTCCAAAATTTTAAGGTTGTAGGGTTAAACGAAAAAAAGCTGCCAATTCGATTAAAACATGTATTCGAGTTACTATGGCAACCACGTTTTTTTTGTAACTTTGATACCAAAGTTTTACCAAACCAAAACACAAAACAATTACAGAAAAAATATAAATATGAGTCTAGTAGTATAAAGCACTGACTGTTATGCCAAAAATTCAGAGTTGGGAAGTATTAATTTTATCATTTAGGAAGTATTTATGTATTGATTGAAGTTGTTTTCTTTATATAATTTTAAACAAAGGTGGGTTTGTTGTTTTAAAATTTAGTTTTCTTTAAATCAACATTAAATGGAAGACAAAATTTTATTAAAATCAGTTGTTTTTTTTTGGGGAGTTTAGAAAGGGAATGTTAAGCAAATAAAGTTTTACGTGGTTGTTTGAACATAATAATAATAAAAAACCTAAACTATGCTAGCAGCCATGTTGTTGCATCGAACTCCCTAAACCCTTTTTTTAATAATTTTGGAAGTTTCTTTAGGCTTGTATAATCATAGCGATCTTTCTTATCTCTCTCCGCACTCTCTGTTTCTTAACCATTAGCAACCAACCTTAAATAATCTCTCAAGAGTTACTTACGTTCCCCTTTTCTCACTTTGTTTTTGACCCGCAAATTAATAGAAAAAAAGAAAATGTTTAATAAGTAAACTCCATGTGTTCTTAACGAGAAGCTTAGGCCAGGCAACCACCATTGGTCATAAACGCTGCTGCTACTCCGGTGTCCAAATCAACAAACTCGCCCGCTTCACCTGTTAATTGGGCCAACAAATCGGCCTCATGCAGATAATCATTCTTAATGGAGATTTGATCATGGAAGGAAACAATTCCGGAACCATTACCACCCATCAAGGAAGAGGTAAAATCTAAAATGTTGCCTCCTATATTAGAGTTTTGCAGTAGAGTGGGTCCGCCATGATTATGATTGACTGGTTGGTGGACATTCACTGCATGCTTGATATCAACAAAACTATCACAGTTGCTCTCAAATAAAAATCGTTCGGCCGATTGGGCGGTAGTGTAGGGACTCTGGGAATCGACCAGTTCGTTTTTAACAAATTCGGTGGCGGTGGTGGGTGTCGAGACACAAGACATGGGACTGGCTACACTGGCTAATAGAGCACTGTTATCGCCTCCATTGCTGCCAATTGGTGTGCTGCAGGTGGTGGGTGTATGAGCCAAAGTCAGACCTAAACCACTGGAGTCGCAATTTGGAATGTAATCGGACATGCTGTGGCCCATAAGGCTGGAAGCGGAGTTGCTGATGACTGTCTGGTGGGCGGTGGGTGTGTTGCTAGTAGTGAGGTGTGTGGGAGTGTGCATAGCTGTTATGCACAGACTTGTACTGTCCTGAGAGGGTGAATTTAAATAACCCAACTCCTGAGGCGTGGGTGAAGGCTTACAGTAACCATTGGGTAGTTGGCTAGTGTGATGGTTTAGCGTTGAAGTTTGTGTTAAGCTGGGAAGTTGAGATACAATTGAAACTTGATTTGTAAGAGCGGCGGAGACTGCGGCAGCAGCCTTGAAACCATTGCTGCGTGAAAATTTGATAGTAGACATCGGTGGGATTACGGTGCGCTGTGTGGGAGTCTGTGAGCTGGAGTTTGAAGTAATTGTGGAACCATTATTATTGACATTAGCAGGTGAATTGAGGCCATTTATTGAGGAATTGCAAGAGTTGTCATCCAAATTCAAATCGGCCAAATATTTATAAGCTGGTGATTGTAACAGTTTTGAGGGTAAATTTAAGCCTTCATGATGGACACAGGCCGGCTCATGAGCCTGTAGCATTTCCAAAAGTTTACGCCTTTCGCTTTCTAAAATACGCACTTGATTCTTGAGGTCAACATTTTGTGTGTCCAACTGATCGGCTTCTTTAATCAAATTCTGGGTTCGTTCACGTTTCTTCATGCGACACTTGGTGGCAGCGATCTTATTGCGTTCTCTGCGACGCCGGCGACGGTCCTCATCTTCAGGTGTCAAACCCTTGGGCAAAGTGGCCTTCAGATCACTGTCATCATCTGTGGTCTCATCGAACTCCTCATTGGGTCGTGAGCATTTAGACATGGGTTGCTCAGAACCGGAACTGGAGTCACAGGTAGACAACTTGCGTTTGCTTTGTATGGACAATTTGAGACCAGCTTTAATCAGTTGTGAACAGGTCTGCAATGAGAGCAAACAGAAAAGAGGGAATAAATAAACATTTCTTTCTATTGCTCTTAAAGTTTACTTAAGTTTTATTTGTAAAGTGCACTTATTTATTTAACCTTGACTGTTGGTTAATACTGATCATGTGAATGTGAGTACATAACAAATGATAATAAAGCTGTTAATGACTTTGTAGTGGTTAAAAGTACACTTTACTAACGCAGTCCAATATAGACAAGTCAGTCACTCAATCAGTTAGCACAATTTGCTTTAAAGTCTAGTTTTTTTTTTTTTTAATTAAATTTATTTAGTAAGTTGTTTTCATTATAAAGTTCAATGAGATTTGTTTATAGAGACAACAAATTGTGTCAGCATTTGCCAATATTTGGGAGTTTGATGGCAAACTTAGAACAAATCCTGCAAATGTTTGAGGTTAAGCAATTTGAATTCCAAAAAAAAAAATACTGTCTCTAGAATTGTTACTTTGTTTGAAATTACGACCCTGAATGGGTTTAAAAAAAACGAACTTAAAAGCAAAATTGACTGACGCCTGTTAAACGAACATGTTGTATTTTGTTTAAGCTTAAAATGTTAAAAGCTTAACTGCGTCTTAAATCTGACATGTCTCCGAAAAAAAACTCGTCTGTCACCAATAACCAAATCCGTAAAATGTAAGATTTTGTATAAAGTTTTTGCTGTTTACAAAAATTAAGTATAATTTACACTCGACAAACATGGTTGGTAATAAAGTGGAGTTAAAGGAGTTTTGTATTTGTGGAATAGAAGAAAATTAGTTTTAAGTGGGATTTTTTCATGCCAAGGAATAAACTTTATAAATTTTTGAGTGTAAGCTGACTGCAAAACATTTAAGTATTTGTTTTGGTTACCTGTGTTTAACAAAATGGCCAAAAACGGTAACTTGGTCAAAATGTTTAGGCATCACAGTTTTTTTGGGCTGTATGAACAGCGTGTGTAAGTGATTTTGAAATAATTTACACTTAAAAGTACGTTGCAGCAACCGTGTATTTTAAATGTCAAAATGATACAAATCGATCGATCGATCGATATGTTCGCAATGATAATATCTTTAAATAAAAAATGTTTAAATTCTCACGATTATATTGAAATGAATGCGTCCATAAAAAAGTCATAATTTAAACAGCAAAAATTTAAAACATTTCAAAACGTAATACAACTCTAAACACGTCTTAAGTTTGTTTTTCAAAACATAAATTGGGTGATTTTAGTGTATTTTTTTCGATACAACTTGCATCAAATAACATGTTTGATAATCTCTCGAAAAGAGACACTCCCTAAATATGACATTAATATATAAAAAAACCCTTTTTTGTGGATTTTGCTTTGGCGTGCCTCTAGTGTCATTTGGAATATAAAATAATATAAATTTATGGCCAGACACAAAGATAAACCACACATATTTACAATTGAAAAAAGATTTTTGCCAATTTAGTGGCCTACAAAAGCAGCAACAAAAACAATGCGCACAAAAACAAAAATGTTGTTAAATCATTTCGAAAAATCTTGATCACGCATACGATTCGATGGAAATGTAAACAATTCCATAATAATAATAATAACAAGCAGCAGCAGTACGTTGTCAAGTGTGACCTACATTTAATAAAAATCACTCTGTGGTTTTTCTCACTCACTCATTCACTCGCTTGCAAGCTAGCACGTTGCACACACCACAATACTTAATCATACTGATGTGGCAACTGCTGCACTAAAAGGTGGGTGGAAGTAGCAGTTTCGCTTGTAAAGTGAGAGTGAGTGCAATGTGCTGCTTACACCTTATACGGAAATGTCTTTTGATGACTGACAGTCAACCTATTCCAACAAAATCAAGTCATTTCAACTGCTGCAGTTAACATTGTTATTGTTGTTCGTTCGTGGTTGCAGTTAAGATTTATGCAGTTTATTGATTGCAATGACCGGCCCGACCATATGGTTAAATCGATTATTGTTTTCTTTTCCAAAAAAAACTTTGTTTTATGGTATTTTTTGTGGTTTTTTTAAATTGAAAAATAAAATAATTTCAATGTTATTTACACAAAACATAATTTTGATTTCAACGTTACTTTTTGGGGATTTGGGGTCTTTTTTTCTTTGAGTGCGTAGCACAGACTGGCACACACAGGTTTTGAATAGGTTGTTATTGAGTGCATAAATAAAATTAATTGTCTTAACAACAAATAAAAGGCAGACATTTAGTCTGTTTACAGAATGTATAGTTGGATGGAATAAATTCATATTGTAATTGAATGTTTAATGGCAGCACTGATTGCAGTGGCGGCGTCGGTGTTGCTGCTGTTGTTTTTACAATCATGACAAGTTGTTTATTGAAATGACCTTTTTCGTTTTAGAAATCAAGACCTATTTTCCCTTTTTATTTAATAAATATTTTTCTTTATATTTTATTGTCATTATTATTTTTTTTATTATCGATTTTATTTTGTCCCTCTTAACAACAACAACACCAGCCACACTATAATATTATTTGAATTATGACCACCATATGGTGCAAGTTGTTTTATTGTTATTTTAATGTTGATATGTCAACAATTTTATTTTATTTTGACAATTATGCAACGATAACTTTATAGCCAAGAAAATAATGTGCGTGATTCATGGCAAAAAAGAGAAATTTTTACAAATTATTATAAATCCTGTGGCCATAAATTCACAACTACAAATCATCTTATATGTACATTTAGAAGAAAAATAAAAGTGATGTAAATGTAAAAATTAGCGTTAGTTTAAATATGTCTACTTAATGCAAATGCAAATGGGAAAAAGTGAAAAAAATTGCTTATACTCAGCAAAATACTTAATCATTTTAATGTAAAGCATTTGCTGTGTTCACACTTAAAACAATTTTTGCTTTCGTGAAGTCTTAACGCAGTTTTAGCTGTAAACTTGTTCACTCTGTTGCCCCTTATATTTGGTGATATTTTTGGCCAAAATGCATATTTGTTTTGTTTTTAAATTTTTTTATTTATTTTTCATATATGAATTTCTCATGTTAATTGCACACTCTCTGCTTTATGGGTGCTAAAAATTATTTGACATAAAAAATTATATATTTTTTATTATTTTTGATTTTTCTGTTTACAAATGTATACAAAATTATTTATTTATTTTGTTCATATTAAACAGCAGCTATGGCAATTATTATCATCAAGATAGTGTTAATTGCGCGTATAAATATTGACTTTGTAGTGCGGAAACATCCAGCCAAAATGGCAACAAGAAAGATTTTTTTAAATTTTAATTTTTAAGGTATTTACTTATATACAAACGAATATCTTCTGTATGTAGGTCTTTTATATACATTTATTAAGAGAAAAAACCCTGCAGTTATAAGTTAGCAAATGTTAATTTCTATAGTAGAGAGGTAACACCCTTTAAAAACCTTGAAAGTAGCTAGCAGGGTAACCAGTTAGTTAAGTTTTAAGCCCTGCAGGGTTCCTATACTTTTCAGATTATGCCATAAATAAAAATATATATATTATATAATAAAGTTGTGAAAAATTTCCAAAGAATTAAAATGCAAAGTGTTGCACATTGTTATTTAACTAAAACTGTGAAATTCCCTAATGAATCATATTCTTTACACAATCATTTGTTATAATTGTAATAATTAGAGTTGCATTCAAATTAGTAAACTAAATATTTTAAGAGAATTTTACTATAATTATAATTAATACAAATTTCTCACCCACACTCTAGTAAATATTATTTTAGTTTTTCTTTACAATAGTTTTACAATTTAAAAATATGTCTGTTAACATGTGTTTAAAAGGAAATAGAAACAATTATTTTCTACTTAACAATGTTTTTAAAAACATTAAAAATCAATTTTCTTATTAAATTCATTATAGTTCTGTGAGAATTGAAGCATAAGTCCATAATCGATTACACGATTAGATGGTTCAAGAACAAAAAAAAAAAAAAATGGATCATGTTATTAAGTTTATTTAAAAATTGCATTGAAGTGTCGAAATAATTGTTTAATATATTAAGTACTAAAGGCAAATTTATTTTATTGAACAAATTCTCAGACTTTGTATTAATAGAAATAGTTGGCAAATACACTAACTCCCTATTCATGATTTTTTATTTCAGAAGGATTTGTTTAAACTTTTTCAGAAGGCTTTGTTTAAACGATTTTGCAAATTTTCATGAAATATTTTCGACATAAAATCAATTTGCATTTCTCTAGGGAAAATTTTATAGTCAAGTTCTTTCATTTGAAAATTTTCATAAAATATTTATACCACTATAGAGGGGAGGATATTATGTGTTTGTGCTGATGTTTGTAACACCCAAAAATATTGGTTCTACACCCACCTTAAAGTATACCAATCGGCTCTGAATCACTTTCTGAGTTGATTTAGCTATGTCCGTCCGTCTGTCTCTGTGTCCATGAAAACCTTGTGCGCACTCTACAGGTCACAATTTTCAAGATAATTTGATGAAATTTGGCACATACTCTTCAAGATCGAAGCCTACCGAAAATGGTTAAAATCAGTCCATTATTTCTGTCTGTCTGTCCGTCTGTGTGTCCATGTAAACCTTGTGTGCATTCTACTGGTCGCAATTTTCAAGATAATTTGATGAAATTTTACACATACTGTTCAACAACGAAGCCTACCGAAAATGGTTAAAATCGGTCCATTATTTCGTATAGCCCCCATGTCTGTCTGTCCGTCTGACTGTGTGTCCATGTAAACCTTGTGTGCACTCTACAGGTCGCAATTTTCAAGATAATTTGATGAAATTTGGTACACACTCTTCAAGAACGAAGCCTACTAAAAATGGTTAAAATAGATCCATTATTTGGTATAGCCCCCATACAACCGTACCCTCTGAATAGGGCTTTTGAGCCCATAAATATGTTAAATATTCTTGTATCACTTCAAAAGTCAGCAAAACGTAGTTTTATATAAGTCTTAATGATACTGCTGATTTTCGTAATGATGGGGCCTCATTTGACCCTAGCCCCCATACTAAGTCCCTTTCAAAGAATGACTTGATATTCAAAATTCACTTATAAAAACTAATATCACAATGATATTCTGCATAAATAACTTTAATGTACACAGTGTTGTCGTACGTATGTATAAACTTTGACAACGGATGGTATTGAAAAATTATAAACAGTTTGGTGTCAATTTGGTACCGCGTGTGTATATTTCCTTTATAACCCCACTTTTAGAAAATCGCTTTTTTGTCAACAAATTGTTAAAATATTTCCTAATTAATTTCTGAATTGAAATAAAATACTTTATTAATAAAAAAATTATCATTATTTTTAACATAAACTCTGGTGTAGGGTATCATATGGTCAAACATTAACGACTATAAATTCTTATTTGTTTCTACATAAAATCAATTTGCATTTCTCTAGAAAAAAAATCAATATTAATTAAAATCATTTATTTATGACACTTGCAATTTATTTTATATTCGTTTGAAATTTGTTTTTTTTAGAGATTAGCAAAAATCATTTTTCACTCTCATGCTCATGCTCTACTCTCATTCTAGCTCCAAATCTTTTTTGTTTGCTCGAATGTTTAAAGAATCATTAGAATTTTAAGTGAGTGTGATGCGCCGCCACTAGAGTAGAGAAAAATGGCTGCTGTTAGGCAGCATCATTAAGGCCAATGTCGTTGTATTTAAATAATCATTTGATGTTTTTATTACTTTTTCTAGTTATTGTTGTTGTTGTTGTTATAATATTTATAATAATTTTCTATAGTATTTTTTTGTTACTTTTGTTGTGTAGTGCGATTTTGTGCATGATGCACGCATTTAGCTGTCAGTTCTATTCCATTTTACAATTTCAATTTGTTTTTTTTTTTGACATTTCATTTTTTTCGCAAGTATTTGTTTTTAAGAAAACAACAAAAAATTGTATTTAAAATTTAAATAAAAGCGAAAATTGCCTTCACGCCAACTAAAAGTCAACTCAGGCCAGGCCGCGTGTGGGCGCATTTGGCAAGCATCTCCAATTAAATGCCAGCCAAGCAGCCAGCAGCAAATACGCTTTATATTTGTTTGTCTTTTTTTTGTGAATGAATAATTTTTTTTATTTAATACATTTTACACTTTTTAGATCAATGAAAAAAACAACAACAAAATTATGAGTAATAGCGTTTTTTGTTTGTTATTGTTTTTTGGGTGTTAAAATGGAAAATTTATAGATTGCCGAAGGACAGAGGAGAGGGGTGGAGGACAGGGGGTAGTGAAAACCTACCTGTTGTACACTGGGTGTAGTATTTGTGCCAGCAGGTGAATCCAAAGGGGTAGAAGAACTACTCGAATGACTGCTATCCTGGGAGGTATTCTAGAAATAAAAAGAATACACACAAAATAAAAAACAAATTAACAAATAAACGAAATTAATTAAGGCTGTTTTATAAGTATACATATGTATGTGAGTTTAGGTTTGTGTAAGTAAAATATTTACTTTACCCACCTGTGTATTTGCATTGAAATTGCGCACTGTCACTGAGGCTGGTGTTGTAGCTGTCGAGTTATTGTTGCTGCTAATGCTGCAGTTAATGTTATTAGAAAAATTATAATTATCCAGAGGATTTGTCATGGCAATTAGAGAATTGAGAATTTCGGGTGTATTAGGCTTAGAGCATAAACCGCCAGAGCCCTCCACACCCAATAACGATGAAGGTGGTATATTTAAATTAAACATGTTTGCTGCTTATCAAAATATTTAACACGGTTTTTACTTTAAATTAATTATTACACAAATTACAAAAATACAACTAAAAACTAATTGTTTAAAACACTTATTAATTAAAATCACAGTTAAAGGCCTTCGTTACAGTTTGTCACAAAGAAAAAGTTTGCTTTTTTTCTTTTTATATTTTTGCTTAAGTTTTTTAAATTTTCTTTTATTTAAACACTTTTTAGTTGGTTTATTCTTGTTGTTGTTGTTTGTTTATAACAATAGTTCATTTGTAAAATTCTTAAGTAATGTTGCTGGAATTCCATTACAAAGTTTTAAACATTTAACTGCAAAGAAAAAAAAAATACAAATAAAAAAATATTAATTTAATTCAATAAAATGTGTTATGTTTAAAATGTTCTTGAAAAATAATTGAAATTTATGTGATAAATTTGTTAATTATAAAGGAACAGTAAAAAAAAACAATTTAATCAAATCAATTAAGCAATTATTTCAAATACTAATAGTGTTATTTTGTTTCTTTTTATCAAGTAGATACTTTAAATTATATATAAATTTTAACTAAATGGATAAATTGTTTATTTTATATACATACATATGTGTTCTAAAGTATATAACTATAATAAAAGGAAAAATATAAGTATATGTATAATAAGGTGTGGTATTCTATTTTATTATTTTACCCTTATAATACCAGGCGTTTAGTTTTTTTCAAATTTTTTTCTCTAGACAAGTACATATAACCACTAAAAAATTCTCTACAAAAAACCCTGAAATGCTTAAATGAAAGAATGAAGAACGTATGTTTGTTGAAAGAAAAAAAAACTAAAACAATTTTGAACATGTTTTTCTCAAGTAGTTCCATACGGGAACAATAAAAGCTCATAAATCATAATATTTTTTGACTTTTCTGTAGAGGTCTGCTTAAGAAGGCAGCAGCAAAAAAATAAACTTTAAATGGAACACTAAATAACTATATAGAGAAGCATACAAAAAAAAAAAACTACACAAAAATGCTTTAATAGAATTAGAAAGACTTTACGTTCTGATTGTGGAAGAGAACCACAAGTCGGAAAGAAAAAAACCATATGGGTTTGTTGTGTGGTTAATGCTTTATTTCTTTAACAATAATTCTTATACAAAATTTAAAACCAACAAAAAATAACCATAAAAAAACATTCCCAAAAATAATATAAAGCTAATTTTAAATAACAAAATTTAAATGTTTTTTACACATTGTTTTTAAAAATACTAGACACAGTGTTTTAATTAGTTTTTTTTCTGTTAAAACAAAAACACATTTGGCATTTCGTTTAAAAAGTTTAAAAGCATTTTGAAAAAAAAAGAATCTAAGAATTTACTTAACGAAATTAAATAAAATGTCATAAATGTCAGGGACAGTGGCATGCATTGAAACATAAATATACTACATATATACCATATTAATACTTCTTTAGAGAAAAATATTGTAAATCCCGGGTCTGGAAGTTAAACATATTCAATACTTTACTAAATATAAATTTCCTGCTTTCCCTTAAAGTTTTCTTGTTAGTTTCTTTTTTTTCAATTTTCTTTTTATTTAATTTGTATTTATTTATTCAGCCATTATTTCTTCTCATTATAAAAATGTTGAAAAAAAAGTTTATTTCTCTTTTACTATTATTCATACAAATTTAATTAAATTCTATTATCACCCCATCTTTAAAAGACTATATTGCTTTTCATACTGATGTTGTATATTAAATCTTTTGTCAATTTAATTTCATCCATCCAACCAACCAACCTCTATCTTTTTGCTATTAATTTTCTTATGATTTTCTAATTAATGTCATTGATACCACTGAGTAACTAAAAACAACAACAACAACTATAAAGTTTATAACAATTTTCTTCCCACCACCCTTTTTCTTTAATAAGAGTTAATTATTGTTATACATTGACTGCAAATACACTAAAAACTCTTTTGACGGAGATGAGAAAATTAGTACTAAATAATTCTCTTATTAGTTTGTTACCATAATGCTTTGATGGTAATGATTACATTACAGTTTAATTAGTATTAACATGTAATGGTACTTTGTTTTTTCAATTAGAATTACATATAAATTATAATAATTACTTTCTAATTAGTCTCTAATTTCTTTGTAGCAATCATGCTTTGGTGGCAATGATTACATTAAGTAATGCATTACAGTTTAATTAGTAATTATATGTAATGGTAATAATGACAATTACATGTAAGTGTTAATGGTTACATTCTAATTAGTCTATTATTTGTATCATGATTTGGTGGTAATAATTACACTAAGTAATGCATTACAGTTCAATTAGTAATAACATGTACTTGATTTGATTGAACCGATTTTTTTCAATTACAATTACATGTAAGTGTTAATGATTACTTTCTAAATAGTATCTAATTTGTTTGTAGCAATCATGCTTTGGTGGTAATGATTACATTAAGTAATGCATTACAGTTCAATTAGTAATAACATGTAATGGTAATTTATTTTTTCAATTACAATTACATGTAAGTGTAATGATTACTTTCTAATTAGCCTTTAATTTGATTGCAGCAATCATACTTTGGTGGTAATGTTTACATTAAGTAATGCATAATGGACCAATTAGTAATTGTAATTATATAGTAATTACATGTAATTGTAATTTGATTTTTTCAATTACAATTGCATGTAAGTGTTAATGATTACTTTCTAATTGGAATCTAATTTGTCAGTAGTATTAGTTGGTTATGCATTGTTGGTAATGCATTATAGGACAATTAGTAATTACATGTAACTGTAATTCGATTTTTTCAATTACATGCAAATGGTAATGCTGACTTTCTATTTACGGTTAAAGTAGTCGTAATTGATAAATATTAATTACATTTGCAAGTAACTGTAATTAAAATTTAATAATTTACAGTTAATTATAAAAAATTTATGAAAAAACTTTTATATCATTATCATAGAACTTGCATTAGCCTGGCATTACGAGTATTAGGTTTAATTAGATTGTTTAAAAGAAGTCACACATGTTTAGTTCCATAGATACAAATACTTTTTTAATTAAACTTTTCTGTTTTTAGCAAGAAGATAGAAAAATTTTTTTCTTGTAGACCATGACGAACACGTTGATGATGGTGGTATATTTTTATACATTTAAGTTTATTTGTTTATTACGATTCATCAATAAAGAATTTATTATTCTTTTTTACTTGTTTATTTTTTATAGACTTTTCGTAAGAAACTCTGTATCTCGCTCCCTCTTGCTACAACAGATAATTGAATTTCTGTTCCTATTTTTTCATTCATACAATTTATTCATTAGTATGCATTTATTATGTTTAAATAAATTGTCATAAATTACAAAAACTTTCTTTATTGTATTATAAACATTTTGCCAAAAATGTCCTGTTTTTGTATTACTCTGTGCGTGCGTGTGTGTGCGTTGAGTGTGGATTAGGCATTTGTAGTATTTATAATTTGATTAAGTATATACGATTTCATATCTGTACTCGTATGAATGTATCCCCCCCCACCATTTAAGTATTTGCCATTTATGCGATTTTTTTTTTTGTATTTATGCGTGAGTGTTTTATGAAATTTCATCACGTTTGTGGGAAGTTGTAAACATAAATACACATTTTTTCAGCGGTTTATTACAAAGTTATAGATGTGTGTTAAAATCGTGTTGAACGTTTGGAAAATATAAAATTTTTCTGTCTCATTTTTAATTTTATTTTATGTCCTAAACATGTAAATATTCCTGGGGTTAAAAATAAATGGTTAAACATTTAATCAAGAGTAGATTAAATAATAAAAAACATCTGCTTTAACATAAACTTTAATATCAACCCTAAGTTAACTAGTCCTTCAAAAAAAGTCTTAATTAAAACATGAAATATTTAAAATTTAGAACTAATGATCAAAACAGCTGTTTTCAATTCAAATTAGATAATTTTATTCAACACCCTCTTGTAGGAAAACTTTGCTAACAACTGTAAGTTTTTTTACCAGTGCTCAAAGTAAAAAATTTTTGTTTAAATTTTATGTAAAAAAAGAACATTATGTGTTTCAGCTATAAAGCAGCATATTATTGAAATATTTCACAAAAAAAATTGTTGTATCTTAAGAATGCAAAATATTATTTATTTTCTTGTGTATTCTTTTCTCTACATGTAAATCATGCTGTTATTTTACACATAAATATAGGTCACAGACAGCACGTCTGCATTTTACTTACTTACACTAACAAAACTTGATGATGATGATGACAGAACAGAGTACAACTGAAACTCATTTCATTCATTTTATGTGCGCTGCACAAAATTTATTCTTGTTTTTCTATTTAGGGTGTATGTTGGTTACACATTATATAATGTGTAAAACAGAAGGGATTTCATTTAACACCATATTTATTATTACAGTAGTAAAATTTTCTCACATTTTACATTAAAAAACAAACAACTGGGGAATTTTTATAAGTTCTTCTTTTTACTCTTTTACCATGAGTGCACCATTGACACGCGTTTATCATTTATAGAACACATTAATTTTGACAGACAATAAGGAACTTATAATTTGAAACAACAAACAATTGACATTGCTTCCCTTTTGGAGTTTTTTTTAGATGTAATAACGAGCAACAACTTTAAACTTTTAGGGCAAATTTTACAGGGTTTGTTAAACATTAATTTATTTTAGAAAAATAAAGTAAAACTTTCGAATTTTTGTATTATTTAACAAAATTTTACATAATGTAAACAATTAAATTTTGAATATTATTTAGTATATTAAGAAAAAATTGCATATTTTGTTCATATTTTACATTGTTTACCTATACTTTACCTATAATTTACCTAATGTAAATAATGCATACAATTAAATGTTCAACATTATTTAAAAATTTAACTCAAAATAAAATATTTTGTTCATATTTTACATTGTTTACCTATATTTTACATAATATCAATAATGTAAACAATTGCTTTTTCAACATTATTTTAGTAATTTAACTCTAAATAAAATATTTTGTTCATATTTTATATTGTTTACCTATATTTTACATAATGTCAACAATGTAAACAATTAAATTTTCAACATTATTTAATAATTTAAGTCAAAGTAAAATGGTGTGTTCCCATTTAACATTGTTTACTTACATTTTACATAGTGTCAACAATGTAAACAATTGAAATTTTCAACATTATTTATTAATTTAAATCAAATAAAATATTTTGTTCATATTTTACATTGTTTACCTATATTTTACATAATGTCAATAATGTAAACAATTGAATTTTCAATATATTTTAGTAATTTAAACCGAAATAAAATATTTTGTTCATATTTTACATGTTTTAACTAAATTTTACATAACGTTAATAATGTAAACAATGGTATTTGTAACACTATTTAATAATTTAACTCAAAATAAAATATTTTGTTCATGTTTTACATTGTTTACCTATATTTTACATAATGTCAACAATGTAAACAATTGAATTTTCAGCATTAGTCGGTAATTTAACTAATAAAAACATATTTTATTCACATTTTACATTGTTTACTCAAATATTACATAATGTCAATAATGTAAACAATTGATATTTTCATGATTTCTGCTAGTTTCGTCAAAAATATGCAGCTATAGGGTAATTTTACCTTATTTACCTTAATTTTATATAATGTCAACAATGTTTAAATCTTTAATAAGTGATTTTACATTGTTTACTTCAATTTTAAAACATGTAAAGAATTAAAATTTTATAGTTTTCTAAAATCTAGAGAATTGTTCTAGATTTTGGATACATTTTTCCTGTTTAACTTATGTCAACAATATTCTTTGATTTTGTTCTCTATTCAATATTTATATAATTGTTTACATTATGTGTAACTAAGAGATTTTCGTTTTTTACTAATCTATTTTCTTTTCTATTTATTTTTAGGTTTGCCTCAAGTTTTTGCAAACTTTGTGTGGTAAGTCGAAAATTTTCTTTTGAAATTTTAATGTTTAAAAATATTGCAAAATATAAATGTTTGTTTAGCGATATCAAGTAAACAATTGACAAATTGTAAACATTTAAAACAAATTTTGAAATAAAAATATTTTCATATCAGACAAATTTTTTTGAAATTTTATTGGACTGCATTTAGCTACATATTTTCTATAATTTGTGCATTAATAATTTCCAATAAATTCCTAGATTATTTAACAATTTACCATGTCTACAGAAAATGTGCTTGTAATCTTTTCAAGTGTCACCAGAGAATTAATGTTGAAATTAATTAGATTTTCAAAAAAAAAAAAAAAAACGTAAGCAGTTTTCATATCATACTTTAAGCTGTAAAGTAGATGACAATATAACTATAGGTTCTAACATGTGTATGAATGTCAGATAATAGTAATGAGTAGTAAAAGTACTTTAATTTTATATATTTTTGATTTTCTGTATAAATTTTAATGGGGTCTCAAATGATAAGCAAACGTTTAGATCAATAGAAAATAAAAATAATATAAAACAAACAAATAACCATTAAATTTATTTAACAAATAAACTAAATAAATAATTAAACGTTTATTCAATCATTTTAACGTCCTTGCAATTTTACACTACAGTAATACAAAAATAAAGATAAAAATGTTTTATATATTAATCAATTTAGTTGCTCTTAGACTTAATCAAATTAGAATTTATGTGGAATTTTTACAAAACTCGGGGGATTTATGTTGTTGTCGTGTAGGTAATATGAGTTAGTGTGTCAATATTGTGAATTCATTAGAAATTGTAAATGTTCTTGACCTTAAAATTTATTGAAAAAAAGCAATTCTTTTGCAAAACGTGTTGTTTATAGAATTTCAAGAGAATTGAAATGAAGTTATTAACAAACTTGCCTACTTTGAATGCACAACTTGTTAATTTATTTTTAGTTATTTTTTTTATTATTTATTCGCATTGTTTTTCTTCTCATAACGTTTTAGAAATGAGTTAACAAATATAAAAATAAAAAATAAATAAATCCGCTTGATTAAATATCAACATTATTAGAGATATTGTAATATTGATAATCAAGTCTCCATTACTTACTTACTCTGCGCCTTTGTTAGTCAATAAATTGCTTAACAGACAGTGCAATAGACAGACAGACTGGCACACAAATGCAAACAGTCAACTAGAGATAGATAGTTTTAGTTTAAGCGAGGGACGGACGGAAATGCATTGAAAGTCAGCTAGTTGTACTACTACTACTACTAGTCACTAGTGTGTGAAAAAAACATTATCAATTCATTACAAATATTTGTGACAACTTTGTAATGTCTACTTAATGTTGTGTTTTTCTGCGAAAATAAAAGCATACACTTGAAGAAATATTTTGGGGGAATATAAAGAAAGATATTTTTATGAAAATAGGACTCTTTGGCTCTCTTTCTTAGTGATATTTTATGTGAGAGTTATCACTACGAGAGCGTACCCCTGCTTAGCACAATTGTTAAGTGTAAACCCAGGATATCATAAATGCCCCTAATATCTTCCCTTTTTATGTAATATTAATGGGTTTTAAACAATTTTATTGTATTAATTTTTTAAGCTTTCAATTTCTCTATTATTTGTTTGTTTTTTAATCGAGTATTACTTTTAACTAATACATTTTGACACTTTTATGCTCGAATAACTTTCTCAGCTACTTTTTTCTTAAAACATATAATATTTCAATGAAATTTACAAATTAAATTAAATAATTTTTTACAGGTGTATCAAATTACTTTATACAAATACTTAACAGGTTTTGAATGTTCTAACACGTATTGGAAGTAATTGCGTTTTTTTGGTTTTTGCTGTTGTTTTTGTTACGATTTAGATTTTATTGTTGTTTTTTTCTATTGCTACATTGCACTATAAATGAATTACCGTGACCTCAAAAACGAACGCAAAAAAATACAAAAAATCATTGGATTCTACGCACTTTTATTTTCAACATTATAGACGCCACAAAAGTATTTCAAACATTTGTATTTTTTGCACTTTGTTATAGGCAGCAGCAGCAACATCATGTTGCTGTGTTGGAAGGTTTAATTGCAAAATTTAACAAAATTTTTGCCACAAACACAACACTAGTTAAATGTAGTAATTTCTAACTTTAGTTAGATAAAGTTATAAAGGAAAATATTTTCAAAAAATTATTTAAGCAATTAAATTACAATTTAAGTTTCAATTTATTCGTTTAACAAGTTATGAAATTTATTTAGCGTTAAAATCTATTAACAAATTATATTTTTAAACACACAGAATTAGTAAAATAACTAAAATCTCATGAATAGTATTTTTTTCATTGAAATTGTTAAACTTTTCTGCAAAAAATTGCAATTTTAATGCAGAAATATTGCCTTATTTGCCCTTTAATGCAATTTTCAAATCAGACATAATGCCTTATTTGCCCTTTAGTTGGGAATCAAAAGTTTTTTTCATTGAAATTGTTGCACTTTTCTAAAAAATTTATTTTTTGCCTTTTAGTTGAAATTCAAAAGTTTTTTCATTGAAATTGTTGCACTTTTCTCAAAAAAGTGCAATTTTAATGCAGAAATATTGTCTTATTCGCCATTTAGTCGAAATTCAAAAGTATTTTCAATGAAATTGTTGCACTTTTCTAAAAATTGCAATTTTAATGCAGACATATTGCCTTATTTGCCCTGTAGTTGTGAACCAAAAGTTTTTTTTCATTAAAATTGTTGCACTTTTCTGAAAAAATGCATTTTTTGCCCTTTAGTTGAAATTTAAAAAGTTTTTCTTCGTTGAAAATGTTTTACTTTTCTCAAAAAAGTGCAGTTTTGATGCAGAAATATTGCCTTATTTACCCTTTAGTTAAAAATCAAAAGTATTTTTCTTTGAAATTGTTGCTTTTTTCTAAAAAAATGCAATCTTAATGCAGAAATATTGCCTTATTTGCCCTTAAGTTGAAATTCAAAAGTTTTTTCATTGAAATTGTTACATTTTTATAAAAAAAAATGCAATTTTAATGCGGAAATATTGCCTTATTTGCCTTTAGTTGAAATCAAAAGTTTTTTTTTGTGTCAGAAATATTGCCTTACTTGCCCTTTAGTTGAAAGGCCAAAAATTCAACAATTCCAAAAAAGGTAATTTAAGGTCAAAAAAGGCCACATTCTTGTGGAAAAAATAATGTATAAAGAAGGAAGAAGCTGGATAATTTAATTATACACTCAAACATTTCTCTTAATCAAAACAAATACAATTCTTTGTATCTAGTTTGTCTGTTTTTTTTTCACACAATTTCTTAATTGTTTTTAAACATGAAATATTTTTATGTACATTGGACATTTGAACTGCCAAATTATAAAAAAAGGCCAACAACAACTAAATATACAACTAATTTAATTTAGTCACATACAACAATGTGTTTAATTAATTATTAAATAACTTAATTGCAGCTTTTATTAAACCTTTAATTAAATAAATTATTTATGAAAAAACAATTTTATTGTTTAAATTTTGTTGAATTTTTTTTTTCAAATACAGACACTCATAAAAAAGTTTCATTCATTCATTGATTACTTCAATAACTGTTTCATTGTTTGGAAGTTTGGCTTTCATTTAATGTTTTATTTTATAAAGAAACACCTACTTTTTGTTCATAAATTATACAAAATTACATAAAAAATTAAAAAAAAATCAATACTTGTTTCTTTAGTTTTAGATTCATTTATTTAAATTGCCATAAAAACGTGTTTTGTTTAACATTTATTATTTTAATGTTTTTTTTTTGTTTGTTTTATATTTGCAAAATTTCATTACGTTTAATTGCCAAAAAAATAACAAGCACGTTTTTTTATACTAAACTCACTTCATACATATAAAATTTTAATAACCCAGCAAACACAACATAAAAATTTATCAAACTAAATTTTAAAATTTTTCATTTTAATAAATTTTAAATATTTCTATATAAATTTTTATTTTAAAAATTTGTTTTTGCCCTAAAATTGTTTGTTGGGTTACATAATTTTTTATTTAAAACTTGCCATCTTGGTTTTGAATGGCATACATTAACAAACACAATACAAACATGAAGCAACAATAAGTGTTTATGGTTGAATTTTATTTATTAAAGCAAAATTTCAAAAATTAAAAAAATATATATATTGAAAAATATAAAACGAAACAACTAAAAGTCTTATAGATTCTTAATGAATCATCTGGTTTCTGTCTTGAAAATAAAAAATAAATAAATAATGGAAACAAGTGAAAAAAAATGCTTTTTTGTAAATGTGCCAAAATTTTAAATAAATAAAAAACCGCTAATAATAATATTTAACATGCAATTTACAGCCAACAAAGTTAAAAATTAATTTTTTTTTTTAATAAATTAAACAAATTAAATAAGTTTTATAAAGTAAGGATTAAGAAAATTTTGTTAAAACAATTAGTTTTTTATAAACTATTCTCTTAAAAATGAGTAATTTGGGTGAAAGTTGTTTATTTTTTGTTTGTTTTATTTAATTTGCAAATTTATATATTTTTTCTGTCTTTTTTTATTATTATAAATAAATAAATCACTTGGAAATCTTACCAAAAACATATGTTAATATTAAATTATAAACATCTACACACATTTCAAAATTTTGTATTGAAAACATATGGTGAATAAGTGCTTTTTTGCCATAATATACTACGAATAAAAACGTTATTTTTTAAATTTTTCCTTTTTATTTTAGCCAAAAATAAAAAAAAAATTTAAAAGAAAAAAATAAATTAAACAATTTAAAGATAAATTTTAAGCTTTTTATGGCAAAAAGTAATAAACAGCGTTGAATGGAATTTGGAATGGTTTAAAAATCATTACAGCTATAATAAATGATTCTTTGGGGGGCTGCAGGCATGACAAAGACTTTATTCTTAATAAAATTTTCTATTAAGTTTTCTATTAGTAAACTAAATTTCGAAAATAAATAGTCTATAGTCTAG